CGCGGTCCGAGGCGGGCTCAGGGGCGTCGGCGTGGCCCCGGTCCCTCAGCCCACGCCCGGCAGGGTCCAGCTCGGTGCCTGTTAGGGGGCCGTTGGATAAGAAAATCTTTCTCTTCCAGGCTTCCTTGGTGAAGCTGAACCCGCTTGCTTTTCCTCAGCAGTTGCGGAGACCCGTGGTGATTAGTCGACTGATTCGACCGAGGGACTCTGTGTACCAGAAATTGCAAGGAGTGTCTAGTCCAGTGGGGAGGCGGACTGGAAGACCGGGAGAGCCCAGGCCCAGAGCAGTGTGGTGAGTCCTGCGCTGGCTGTGGGGACCCGGGACAGGTCTGGGTGCCTCAGGCCGAGGGCTTCCTTGAGTGGAAGGAGGCTTGCAGAAAGGGAGGCTGGACAGAGAACAGCCCGCGAGAGTGGGAGAGTTGGGACAGCAGCATCCGCGGTTGTCTAATGGAAGCAAGGTGATGGGGAGGGCACGTGGCGTGCGCTAGCTACCCATGGATCCCGTGCACAGGAGCCCAGAGAGAGGACAGTCCCAGATGCTGTGCCCTGTTTGTGGGTCGTGCCTCGGGGAACCCTTTCAGAAGGAGTGTGATCAGGGCGGTGGCGCTGAGCAGCTCTGTTTTAGTGTGACACATTCTGTAGGACAGCACTGGGATCGCTCCCCGGACAGCCGTGTCTTCTGTTGTAGAGTGGCACTGGAGGCTTGTGCTTCTTGATGCAGCTCTCTGGGGCCTGAGGGCCGGGACATCGCTTTGTAGCTTTAGGCCTTCTCAAATGCCCCAGACTTCTCAGAGATTCATTACCTACCTAAGCTCGCAGAGGATGTTTTTGCAAGCTGCTGCTCATCAGCCTGTATCACATCTGAGACAGCAGCTTCCATGATTTAATTCTCTGTTCAGTGGCCTAGGATTTCCTCGGGCTGGTGCTTGAACTCCCTGTGAAGTGTCCAGAGTGCATTCTCTCTGTGGTGCTGCGCTGCAGGACCCAGGCTCTCTGCGGCTCCTCACTTATAGGATGCTGCTCTCTGAATTCTTCTACGGCCTTCTTTCACGTGACCAAGTATGTCCACTGTGTGTCCCAGCCAGTAAAGCCACGTAGCAAAGATGGAGTGAGTTGGCTGGGGGCCTTACCCTAAAGATGTTGTCTTACTGACCCTCCTTAGTTCTTTGAGAGTGGTGTTCAGCAGGCAGACAGTGACAGCCAAATTGAGGCTTTATCTGTGGTTTGTAATAAGCTTTCCTGTCTTGTCTCAGGCTTTGCAGTGGAGCGTCCCCGAGCATGCTTACTTTGCCTTTGGCTTCGACTAGCCACTGCTGATGTCCGTCATTCCTTGGGCACCTCCTGCGTACTGGTTTCTGTCTAGAATGTGTCTGGGGCTGGGATAAGGGAGGATAGGGAAGAGATGGCCAGGGAACTGTTCTTGCCCGTGCTAGCTCATAATCTCTCTGAGATTGCTGTTTCAGGCTGGCGGCTGGCCATGTACCAGGGGAGGAGCCTGGCATGTGAGTACTTATCAGAGGAAGAGACAGGGTGTGTGCAACTCTGATGAATCTAGGGTTCTTCAATTCCTGAGAAAACCTCCCATTTTGACTCTGCCCTCCCTCATCTTTGGGAGAGACTGAAGCTGGACGCAAGGCCTTGGACGACTCATGGCCACGCTGGCTGATAGTGTGCAGAGGCGGGGTGGGTGTGTCCCTGGCCTCTGGGATCTGTCAGGAGTTTAATTTTATGCAGATGGAGGTTGGCAGGAATTGCTGTATCTCAGGCACGTGTAATCCCAGCACAGTATTGGAGTGAAAGTTAAACTTTGAAAAAGTTGCTTAAATCTTTCACTGGGACTTTTGAAGTACCTGAGAATGAGACATCAGCCTACCCTAGAGAAAGCCCCTAGGTGGGACCTGTGGCCTGTGGGTTTTGTGTTGGGGACATGTAAGGAGGGAAAGATATTTTTTTATTCCCAGAAAAGAGTAGAGAGGGATGAAGAGTCTGAACTAGACTTCTTGGAGCCCTAGAAGAGCGTTTTTGTTGAATTGGTGTCATTGCAAGGCAGAGGATTGTTTGGGTAATGTGTTCCCCAGCTTTGATAGGCTCTGTCTGAGACCTCTCAGGAAGTGCTTGCCAAGAACACTTGCTCTCTACCTGGTACTTCTGAGAACTGGGGTGAGGTGAAGATCCCAAGGTGTGGTGCTTCAAAGGGTCTGGAATGAGCAGGTTGGAGTGCATGAGATCTGAGAGTATTGGTCCATTCCGCTTCCAGAGAGCTTTCCCTGGAGAGCTGTGGTGCCAGTGATACCCCTCGTGGTCAGTAGGCTGTGCAGTGCCTTACTCCAGTCTCTTCTGAACTAAATATTTGATTTCTTCTGGCGCACCTGGCACATGGAGAGTGCCTGGTTTCTGCCTTGTTCTTGTTTCTTGCATCTTTGCTGTCCCCTAGTCTGGACCTTCTTGCTCACTCAGAGATTGACTGGCAGCTGGCTGTTTCAGGTCCACTGTTTTCCTCTGGCGCTTTTTAGTGCTGATGATTGGTGTACATTGTGCCTAGTCTTGGGCTGCTTGTTGATATCTGTCATCTCATCCAGGCCTCAGAACAGCCCTATGAAATACAAGTCCTAGTATTTATATAGATGGGGAAACTGAGGCTCAGAGAAGCCTGGAACTTGTCCAAGGTCACAAAGCAAGGAAGTAGTAGTGGAAGTGGGATTTAACTATGGGGTCTGTCTGACCCTAGGGCATGTGTACCTACCTACCTGCTTCCTGAGTCTTGGTCTGCGTCAGGGTGGTTGGCTATTTGTGGGTGCTGCTATGTCTAGGACAGCAATGGGTGTACCCTGAACTTGGGGAACCATGTTGCTATTTCCTGGGTACAGGTTGCTGTGAATAGGGTCGATATAGCTCTCCTTCTGGTGAGATTCAGCCAAAGATGTTATGAACCAGCTTTGTGAACCTGTGGCGTAACCGTGAGTAACTGGAACCTGCATAGGTATGACTTGCCACAGGAGTGTGGCTCCTGTGTTTGGAAGGCTCTTGCATTGCGAGGTAACAGGTTTTCCTGCGTAACATTGAGTGGCAGCAGGATCTTCCAGAAAGTATTTTGGGGGCTTGGTCTTCGTTATGCCGTTGGTTTGCTGTCAGATGTTGTGTATGAGGGAAACCTTCTCTCAACTTCATTTCTCTATCTTATGTATCTGTCTTATACAGTAGAATACCCTTTCCTGTCCATGGTTTTGCTTCCTGCAATTTCAATTACCCGTGGTTAACCATCGTCTGAACATAGTAAATGGATAATTACAGAAATAAACAATTCCTGAAGTTTAAATCATGGACCCTTCGGAGAAGCATGATGAAATCTTGTGTAATTGTGTTCTGATCTGCCCAGAACGTGAATCATCCTTTCATCCAGTGTATCCACACTATATACATCTCCCACCTGTTAGTCACTTCATCACCTAGAAGCTATTTTGGTTATCAGTTTGACAGTTACAGTGTTGTAGTGTTTGTGTTCAACTAACCCTTATTTTATTTCATAATGGCTCCAAAGTGTAAGAGTAGCAACATTGGCAATTTTATTATAGTATATTGTTATAATTATTGTGTTTTAAAAGTTATTAATGGTAATCACTGTGTATTATTTATAAATTAAACTATCCATGGTTTGATATTATCTGCAGTTTCAGGTGAGACCATGGGTGGTCTTGGACTGTATCCTTCCAAGACAAGAGGGGCTACTTTATCTGAGTCGAGATGATTATCTAGCCTGCAAGGCTTTGGTGAGAATTAGGTGATAGAAATAAAGCATTGTTTGAAACCTAAACTCTGGTTATCTTAGACCAGGTTCCCAGAAAAGTCTGAGACAGATCTTCAGTGTTTAGTACTTTATTGGAGAGTGTATTGCAGTGCAGCCAGGGTGAGGGAAAACAAAAGCAAGGAACAGAAAGATGGGAAGCAAAAAGAAGGTGGTACTTTAGCAAGCTGTCCACTCTGCAGAGAGGGATAAAATTGTTCAGGACCTCTGTGTGCAAGTGCTGTAAGAACTCTGTGCATGGGAAGAGTTTCTTGTACCGGACAGAGCAGGTATAAGGACAGATACCTATGGTCTGACATATGCAGCCTCATCCTTCATTGCCAGGGCCTGTTGAGCCTCTTCTTCCTCTACTGATGAGGTGGAAAATCAAAGCCCAGGGAGTTGCTTCACTGATAATTCTTACATGGCTGCTTATAGAGCAGGGAATAGGATTAAAAAAACAAAATACAGGGAAGGAGAAGAACATTACACTGAGCATAGATCTTGGTTTCACTAGGTTCTTGGTGAAGGAGAATATTTTTCACCTGAAGTAGATGTTGAAGATATGGTACCGGGGGTTGTGAAATGGGGCTGGCAGGGCCTGCAGGGTAAGGCCACAGTTATAAGGGCCCTTCAGGCTAAGGAGTTTGGACGTTATTGTGCTACTGGTGCAAAGCTCCAGGTGGTGCTGACTACTCCCTGGGACAGAGTTGGGAGGAAAGCCAGACCAGATGTGGAGAGGTCACAGCGCGTGGCTGTGAGGGGTTTTGGGGTGGCTCACATTAGGGTGGTGCCTGAGGCAAGGCATCAGGTGAGAAGGGAGCCAGTGACAGTAGCTTCTAGGCTGAATGGACATCCATGTGCTTTGGTGGTGCGGCTTCCTGCACCTTCTGGATAACTCTTTCTAGGCTGGGCAGGCAGGTCTTTTCAGCTCTGCATTTCTAGAGTTGGCCTCAGCATTGGGAGGCAGGGCCACGATGCACAGTACATGGCAGGGCTTGGGGCTCCAGGAGCCCTATTCTGAGAGGTTGCCTCTTCACAGAATGCTGCTAGGGTTTTGTCCATCCATGCTGAGAAAGACGTGCTTGTTCTCAGCAAAGCCTTGCTCTGTGTCTCTGCTGTTAAACACATTGTTACAACTCAGGCTGTTGCATTTGGGCTGCAGCTGGTAGGCTGGCATAGCATCCTGCCTGATGAGGTAAGGGGAGAAGCTAAGAACTCTGCTGTTTTGCAGCTGGAAACATCTTTTCATGGTCATTTAGCCAGCTTGTAAATGTCCTTTCCAAAGAGCAGGCTTGCGAGGACCTCTGGTTGTATGTCTTGGAATTGTCCTATGCTTAGAAACAGTGCCAGTTGCCTGGTGGGTGAATCACTGTTGTTGGGGTATTGGCAGGTTTTTCAGGACCTCCCAGTGGGGATCTAAATCTGGAGCTGCCAGGGCCCTTTGGAGTTCCTCTGAGAAGGGCCTGCTTTGTTTCCTTTATGTTTTATGCATATTATAAAATATTTTTTAAATTCTTCTATAATTCCTTGTAGAAAGATTGGGAAAATAAACAGCATAAAAAAGAAGAATAAAATGACTTCACCAAGACAGTTAGAAGACGGCTCTCTAGCTGCACATGTATGCACACATTAGTTTTTCTTCACCCAAATCAAATCATATGGGACATATTTGGGGAGACCTGCTTTTCTCACTGTATACTTTTTTTGTTCTTATGTAGTCCATAAGAATCCACTGTATGGAAGAAATGTAAAATCTTTTGTAGTTCCCATTAGTTGCAATTTGAACAAACTTGTGATGAAGAATTTTCAGGCTCATGATATGGACAGACATTATTCTAAAGCTTGGGGATACAGGTCAGATAAAGCTCTGTATTGGTTTTCTGCTCAAGCTTACTGCCACTTTGCTTCTCAGGAAAGGGTATTTGACGTTGTCCATCTGCATACCTATTCTGCCTCAGTTTATTGTCTTCCTCTTCTCTCCTTCCCCTCCTCCTCCTCCTCTTCCTTATCTTTTTAAAGTTTGTCATGCTGGGGATGGAACCTAGGGCTTCAAACATGTTAAGCAGGTTCTCTATTGCTGAGCTGTACCTCCAGCCCTCTGCATGGATTTCTAAGGGTTCCTGGCGTGCTTGTGACAGCACTGGATATTTTGTGGGGTACTGGGGAGGATACTCCATCCTACATTGTCCTAAACAAGCTTTGGCTGCAGGTAGAAGGGGGGTTTGGGTTACCTTTCCCATAATGTGGGACGTAGTCCCTCTGGGATCCTTCTCTAAGTGTGATCCTAATTTGTACAAAGACGAGTTCAGGGGCCCAGGATCAGAGTGGGGTGGGGCTCGGAGATGTCCCTGCTTGGGATGGCAGTGTGATGTGGCAGGCTGTGAGCCGATTAGGGTGTTCAGCTGCTTGGGCCCACACAGCCATCTTCCCCCTCTCCTGCCAGAGCAGGACTGTGCAGGCTCTTGGAAAGTCATCTCCTAAACCCCATCTGTGATTTTTTGAAGCTCTGCCTCCAGGCCTGGATTCATAGATGGGCTTAGTGTAAGCCAGACAGCGCATTCCAGAGAAATGACAACTGGTATTCGTGTAATAAAGGAACCTGGCTGTTTTCTCCTGAGTGCTGTAAGGTACAAATCATCGATGGTATCATCGGGATGATTTAATCGTTCTTTTTTTTTTTTTTTTTTTTTTTTTGT